ACATGTAATATTGATAATATTATAATGTAATACAATATAATACTAAGAATAATTCAATATAATAATTGTAGACCACCAGCATTGAAGCAATGGTCCTCTGCCATCAACTCCGCTGGACTAAACATGTTGTCCGGATGCCCGACCACCATCTTCCAAAGCAATTGCTCTACTCCGAACTCAACGGAATGTTGGTGGGCAGGAAAAGAGATTTAAAGATGGGCTCAAAGCCAACCTTAAAAACTCTGGCATAGACACTGAGAACTGGGAAGCCCTGGCCCTTGAGAGTTCCAGTTGGAGGTCAGCTGTGACCAGTGCTGCAGAATTTGAAGAGGCACAAATGGAGGGCGAAAGGGAGAAACGTGCGAAGAGGAAGGCGTGTCAAGCCAACCCCCACCTGGAAACCAATGTCCTCACAGTGGGAGAAGATGCAGATCACCTACGGACCCACCGCCAGAACACCGACCTTGGAGGACCATCATCCTCTGACTACAAGGGATCGCCTAAGTAAGAAATCCAAAACACTCCAAAACCCAACGCGCTTCCCGTCCCATGCATTCCTGAAAAGGAAGATTCACAACTCACTTTTGCTGGGTATGAATGACCAGCAGATATATCAGAAAACTCTGGGCATGTCCGCACTGTAGAATAAATGCTGTTTGGCCACACTTTTAACTTCCAATGCTATGGAATCCTGGGAGTTGTAGTTTGGAGGCACCATCACTCTCGGCAGAGAAGAAGGCTAAGGGCCTTATAGAACTACAACTCCAAGGACCTCATAGCATTGAGCATTGGAAGTGAAGGTGGCGTCAAATTGCATGCACAGACCCACGGCACCGTCTCTCACCTGGCTAAGGGCGAGCAATAGGTGGAAGCAGGCGAGGTGAACTCCATGGTCCTGGACGGCAAGACCGGCTTTCCCGGAATGAACTTCAGGCTGTTTGGATTCGGGGTGTCTTGAGTCTGGATGAACATTGACCGTACCAACACCTCTAAAAGGAAACACCATAAACAAGACATATTATAGAAATGTGATATGTTGGTTGCAGTTTTGTTAGTAAATCAATTCTATGCAGGATTCTATTGTATCACCGGGGGTGTGAAATGGGAGGGAATTGCTATACATATTCTCTAACATATAAGGGAATTCCATCTGCAATATCTTCTATTTCAAAAGCAAGTGGATTCTTATCATCTAGCATTCACATTGACCTTTCTGTCTTCTTATATTGTCCTGTCTTTTTCTAATCTTCTCCTCTGAGCCTTTACTATCAATGTTTATTTATTTACCGTATTTATATACCACCCCTCTCAACCTGGAGGCAACTCAAGGCGGTTTTGTTGGAGCACGCAAGAAATCAGTTAATGTGTGTGCGTCTACTGTAAAATAAGATACATGAAACCGATTGGTTGGGCAATGCATGGGGAGCAGCCTGAGCCTGGGACTTTTGGGTACTGTTACATTTTTGTTCAGGCTTTAGCTATGCAAGTGCACAGAGAGATGGCGAGAGAAGAAGCGAGAGAGACTGAGTTTGGAGTGTGCTCTTACTTCAAGAACTGCTGGAAGGAGTTTCTCCACATGAACAAAGAAAGACAATTTTAAATCTCTCTAAAAAAAATATCTGAGTTGATGCAACTGATCACATGATTATACATATGTTGTTTTGAATTATGAAGAGTAAACACACACACACACACACACACACACACACACATATATATAAACATTTATATGCTGCCCTTCTCACCCCGATCACAATGATATTCACACTGAAGCTGTTATAAGGTGTTAACAATAATAAAACGTTTATTTAACAGGCTTAAACTTCTGGTACAAATGCGCAGTGGTTTCAGTAAGTTACTGGTACACAAGCTTCTGGTTACTTATTATGTACAATTCTTAGATGGGTTCTGAGTTCAAATCTTGATGTTAACAAATCAGGAGATTATCTCAGGAAATTAATCGCTGATAATAATTCCAAACAAAATTCCCCCTTTTGGGAACCTAGTCAATATTCTTTGGCCTAGCCTTCCTCAGGAATAAAGAACACACCACAAACAAGGTCCTGTTCCACTATCTGTATTCTTAGCTAAGTTCTCTAGCTCTTGAATACCACTAAAGATTAACCCATCTCTCCTATCTAACACCAACTGTTATCACCAACTGACAAACTCCCAACGGACAAATTCCAATTGCCAACTCAAGCCTCAGTTTAAAAGGTACTTTTTTTTCTTTTTGAACGCTAGGCTCCGCCCCCTATTTTCTAACCAATCCTGGCCGTCTATTCTCTGCTTCCTGGATTAGGACACTCCCCCTTTAGAAACCCCTTAACTAAGATGGTGTCTCCCTGTTTCTCTATCCTAAGGTGGCCGTCAGGGCCTCGCCAGGTCCACATTCTAGCTGCTTAAGGTAAGGAGTTCTTTACAACCTTCACATTTGGGATTGTAGGTATTGGGATTTAAAGTTCACCTGCAATTAAAGAGTCCTGTGAACCCCACCAGAGGTTGCTAATTGGGACATTCACACTTGCTTTCAACAAACAAGGATTTTTTCTCCCATCCTGGACATTATTACATATACACTCCATTTGCTTCACTGCCAACAGAACTTCTGAGGATAACATTAGCCACAGATGTAGGTGAAATGTCAGGAGAGAATGAAATCTGTTGGCCAGACAGCCCAGAAAACTCACAGCAACCAAATACTTTCCTAAGTTTCAGAGTTTTGAAAATTGAGGTTTGCATGAGACACAAGGTAAAGATGGTAACCGCATGCATGGTTCATAAAACCTCACGAAGAAGTCCCTTAGCATGACGGATTCCTCTTTAGTGGCATTCCCTCATTGAACGCTCACCCGACTGCAGCGTTGCAGGCCGAGCTGGGAACCTCTGGAGTGCAGCAAAGTGCTGAGGCTGTTTGGCTGTTGAATGAAGACTTCTCAATCCCAAATGGCAGAAGCTGAAAGGAAAAGACAGAAGACACATTTGAGCAGTAACGTCCCAATTCCAGATCCAACCAGGGATATTTACATCTCCACTGTAGAATAAATTGCTCCAAAGACCTCTGAGCAAACTTCTGAAGATGATATCAGCCACAGATGCAGGCAAAATGTCAGGAGGGAATGCTACTGAAACATAGCCAAACAGCCCGGAAAACTCACAGCAACTCACTAATAGCACAACAGTTTATCCTATCTGCAGATTAGCATATTCATAAACATAATAATATTATCCATGAGCTCATTATGCATATGCTAATTTAAGTGTCAGGTACATTTCCTTTTCCAAAAAAACTTTTGTGTTCATAATTTTTTTGAGAAAAGGAAATGCATCTGTGTCAGACTGTAGGATCTATATAGCAATATTAAATAACCACTCACAAGCCGTTTTGCTTTGAAATGGATATATTGCTTGTATTTCTGCAACAAAGACAGACACTAATGACTTTTTCCCACCACCACTTCCTTTTATACACCTTTCCTGCCCATCTATCCTAGTTATATATTTCACCTGGTCATGCTCAGCATTATTTTTTAAATTTTTAATTATTACTTATGGCCCAGCCATAGGTTTTTAAACGTTGTTGTGCTATTGTTAATGTGTACTGCTTGTTTTTTGTTTATGAGTTTCATTTTATTGTTTTGTATTGCTGCTGTTGTTGTTTTTGCTGATGTATTGTGGGCTCGGCCTCATGTAAGCCGCACCAAGTCCCTTGGGGAGATGGTAGCAGGGTACAAATAAAGTATTATTATTATTATTATTATTATCTTCCCCTCTTCTCAGTTTCCTTATTAGAACTTGTTGCTTCACAAGTTCCAATACAAGGTTTCCAGCGCCCTCTGCTGGCTTCAAAATGTCACAGAGAGAGAATTGATTAAGCCAGGATAATTCAGTCAGGATGCCATGGAGGGAATTTGTGATGTCTTCATACCCTCAGAAATTGACTCCTGACAATCTGACACTCCACACATAAATTAGCATATGCATAATGAGCTCACTTTTGTGTTAACCTGACACTTAGTGCATAAATTAGCATATGCATAATGGCTCATGAATATTATTCATACATTTATGAATATGTTAATTTGCAAAACAGGAAGAAACTTTCCATTATTTTTTAAAGGTAATGCACCTGACACTTCATGCATAAATTAGCATATGCATAATAAGCTATGGATATTATGTATATGTTTATAAATATGTTAACTTGTAGGCAGGGAGAAAGTAATTTTTTTAAAGAAAAGGTAATGCATCTGACACTTCATGCACAAATTAGTATATGTATAATGAGTTTGTGAATATTATTATGTTTAGAACGGCCTGCCTCAGGGGAGCGTGCTTGCTCCATCCATGTTCAACATCTACACAAATGACCAGCCACTGCCAGAAGGGACAGAGAGTTTCATCTATGCTGATGATCGTGCCATTACTGCTCAAGCAGGGAGCTTTGAGATGGTTGAACAGAAGCTCTCCGAAGCTCTAGGTGCTCTTACTGCCTATTACAGGGAAAACCAACTGATCCCTAATCCATCTAAAACACAGACATGTGCCTTTCACCTTAAGAACAGACAAGCATCCCAAGCTCTGAGGATTATCTGGGAAGGAATCCCACTGGAGCATTGCAGCACACCCAAATACCTGGGAGTCACTCTGGACCGTGCTCTGACCTACAAGAAGCACTGCCTGAACATCAAGCAAAAAGTGGGTGCTAGAAACAATATCATACGAAAGCTGACTGGCACAACCTGGGGATCACAACCAGACACAGTGAAGACATCTGCCCTTGCGCTATGCTACTCTGCTGCTGAGTACGCACGCCCAGTGTGGAACACATCTCACCACACTAAAACAGTAGATGTGGCTCTTAATGAGACATGCCGCATTATCACAGGGTGTCTGCGCCCCACACCACTGGAGAAATTACACTGCTTAGCCGGTATTGCACTACCTGACATCCGCCGGGAAGTAGCAGCCAATAGTGAAAGGACCAAGACAGAACACAGTATTTTCTGTTGATCATGGTGGTTCTGTGTGGGAAGTTTGGCCCAATTCTATCATTCGGTGGGTTCAGAATGCTCTTTGATTGTAGGTGAACTATAAATCCCAGCAACTACAACTCCCAAATGTCAAGGTCTTTTTCCCCCAAACTCCACCAGTGTTCACATTTGGGCATGTGGAATATTCATGCCAAGTTTGGTCCAGATCCATCATTGTTTAAGTCCACAGTGCTCTCTGGATGTAGGTGAACTACAACTCCCAAACTCAAAGCCAATGCCCACCGAACCCTTCTAGTGTTTTGTTGGTCATGAGAGTCCTGTGTGCCACATTTGGTTAAATTCCATCATTGGTGGAGTTCAGAAAGCTCTTTGATTGTAGGTTAACTATAAATCCCAGCAACTACAACTCCCAAATGACAAAATCAACCTCACCAGCATTCAAATTTATTGGGTATTTGTGCCAAATTTGGTCCAGTGAATGAAAATACATCCTGCATATCAGATATTTACATTACAATTCATAACAATAGCAAAATTACAGTTATGAAGTACCAATAAAAATAATGTTATGATTGGGGGTCACCACAACATGCACAACTGTATCAAGGTGTCGCGGCATTAGGAAGGTTGAGAACCACTGGCTTAGCCGGTATTGCACCACCTGACATCCGCCGGGAAGTAGCAGCCAATAGTGAAAGGACCAAGGCAGTGACATCTCCAGCTCATCCCTTGTTTGGGTATCAGCCAGCACGTCAACGACTTAAATCAAGACATAGTTTTCTTAGATCTACAGAGACACTCGCTGGAACACCTCAGCAAGCGAGAGTCCAAAAGTGGCAGGCCCAAACCCAGCACCTCAATCCATGGGTGATACCAGATGAGAGACTCCCCCCTGGGCACACAGAAGACTGGGCGACTTGGAAGGCGCTGAACAGACTGCGCTCTGGCACCACGAGATGCAGAGCCAATCTTCAGAAATGGGGCCACAAAGTGGAATCCACGACATGCGAGTGTGGAGAAGAGCAAACCACTGACCACCTGCTGCAATGCAACCTGAGCCCTGCCACATGCACAATGGAGGACCTCCTTGCGGCAACACCAGAGGCACTCCAAGTGGCCAGATACTGGTCAAAGGACATTTAACCAACTACCAAGTTTGCAAAATCTGTGTTTTTTTTAAATCTGTTTGTTTGTTTTATTCTGTTAGAAATGTAAAACAATGGTATGGTTGCTGATGACACGATACATAAATAAATAATGTTTATGAATATGCTAATTTGCAGGCAGGGAGAATCTGTGTTCACCTGACATTTCATGCATAAATTAGCAAAGGCATAAGGAGCTCATGACTATTATTAATAGGTTTATGAATATGCTAACTTGTAGGAAGGGAGAATTTGGGTTCGTACTTTTATTTGAGAAAAAGAAATGCACCGAACACTTCATGCATAAATTAGCATATGCATAATGAGCTCATGATTATTATCGATATGTTTATGAATATGCCAACTTGCAGGCCGGGAGAAACTTTGTGTTCACCTGACACTTGGTGCATAAATTAGCACATGCATAATAAGCTCATGGGTATTATGAATATATTTATGAATATGCAAATTTTAATCCAGGGAGAAACTTTTGTGTTCATACTTTTTTTGAGGAAAGGATGCTTCATATATAAATTAGCATATGCATGAGCTATTTTATTTGTCGTGTCAGGACAACCAGTCAAATTATATTACATTTCTAACAGAACAACGCAAAGCAAACAGACAAAATACAAAATTTGTGTTTGGTAGTTGATTAAATGTCCTTTGACCAGTATCTGGCCACTTGGAGTGCTTCTGGTGTTGCCGCAAGAAGGTCCTCCATTGTGCATGTGGCAGGGCTCAGGTTGCATTGCAGCAGGTGGTCAGTGGTTTGCTCTTCTCCACACTCGCATGTTGTGGATTCCACTTTGTAGCCCCATTTCTCAAGGTTGGCTCTGCATCTCGTGGTGCCAGAGCGCAGTCTGTTCAGCGCCTTCCAAGTCGCCCAGTCCTCTGTGTGCCCAGGGGGGAGTCTCTCATTTGGTATCAGCCATTGATTGAGGTTCTGGGTTTGAGCCTGCCACTTTTGGACTCTCGCTTGCTGAGGTGTTCCAGCGAGTGTCTCTGTAGATCTTAGAAAACTATTTCTTGATTTAAGTCGTTGACGTGCTGGCTGATATCCAAAGGGATGAGCTGGAGATGTCTCTGCCTTGGTCCTTTCACTATTGGCAGCTATTTCCCGGCGGATGTCAGGTGGTGCAATACCGGCTAAGCAGTGTAATTTCTCCAGTGGTGTAGGACGCAGACACCCCGTGATAATGCGGCATGTCTCAAAGAGCCACATCCACTGTTTTAGTGTGGTGAGATGTGTTCCACACTGGGCATGCGTACTCAGCAGCAGAGAAGCATAGCGCAAGGGCAGATGTCTTCACTGTGTCTGGTTGTGATCCCCAGGTTGTGCCAGTCAGCTTTCGTATGATATTGTTTCTAGCACCCACTTTTTGCTTGATGTTCAGGCAGTGCTTCTTGTAGGTAAGAGCACGGTCCAGAGTGACTCCCAGGTATTTGGGTGCGCTGCAATGCTCCAGTGGGATTCCTTCCCAGGTGATCTTCAGAGCTCGGGATGCTTCTCTGTTCTTGAGATGAAAGGCACATGTCTGTGTTTTAGATGGGTTGGGGATCAGCTGGTTTTCCCTGTAATAGGCAGTAAGAGCACCTAGAGCTTCGGAAGGCTTCTGTTCTACCATCTCATGAGCTGATGAATATTATTGTTTATGCATATGCTATTTTGCAGGCAGCGAGAAACTTTGTGTTCACCTGACACTCCGTGCATTAAATTAGAATATGCATAAGGAGATCATCAATATGTTGATTTGCAGACAGGGAGGTAAAGTTAGGCTGATATAACGGCCCGACACCAAGAAAACAGGGCTTTGGGGAAAGAACTACGACTCCCAGAATTCCCTGCATGGCGGGCGGGCTGAGAGGCTTCTGGGAGTTGTAGTCCAACAAAGCAAAAAGTGCCTAAACAGCCGGCTGCTGCTTTAGGACTCGGCCTATTGCGGTTTCCGGGCCCTTCTTTCCTATAAAGGCCACCTACCGGCCCCGCAGCCTCCCCAAGGCCGCTGCTCCGAATCCTCTTGCCACCGCCGCCATCTTGCCTCCTTCGTTATCCACGAAGGACCCCTCGGCCGGGCTGCCCGGCGCGAACGCCTGATCCGCGTCCTCCGATTGGCCCGCACAGCGGAAGAGACCCCGCCTCCCGTGACGTCGCTTCTGCGCCTGCTCCTCCGAACCTCAAGAGCGCCCCTGCTGGCCATAAGTGGAAACTGCAGGTGGCAGCTTTTTTTTTTTTTTGCAAAAGACTCAAAAGGTGGATTTTATTATTAGTATCATGTATTAAGAGTAGAGACATCAGACTGGCAACAAAGATCCGCCTAGTCAAAGCCATGGTATTCCCTGTAGTAACCTACGGATGTGAGAGCTGGACCTGAGGGAAGGCTGAGCGAAGGAAGATCGATGCTTTTGAGCTGTGGTGTTGGAGGAAAGTGCTGAGAGTGCCTTGGACTGCGAGAAGATCCAACCAGTCCATCCTCCAGGAAATAAAGCCCGACTGCTCACTGGAGGGAAGGATACTAGAGACAAAGTTGATGTACTTTGGCCACATCATGAGGAGACAGCAAAGCCTAGAGAAGACAATTATGCTGGGGAAAGTAGAAGGTAAAAGGAAGAGGGGCCGACCAAGGGCAAGATGGATGGATGGCATCCTTGAAGTGACTGGACTGACCTTGAGGGAGCTGGGGGTGGTAACGGCCGACAGGGAGCTCTGGCGTGGGCTGGTCCATGAGGTCACGAAGAGTCGGAGACGACTGAACGAATGAACAACAACAAATTATCTCCAGCAAAGGATCACTGCCTTGTTGTGGCGCTGGAGAAGAGAAGGTGGCGAGACTATACAGAAGATCTGTATAGGAAGGATAATAATATCGAGGATAGTTTTGACGGTGTGGTGAATGAATTAGAACCAGACATCCTGAGGAGTGAGGTTGAATGGGCCTTAAGAAGCATTGCTAACAACAAGGCAGCAGGAGACGACGAGATCCCAGCTGAACTGTTTAAAATCTTAAAAGATGATGCTGTCAAGGTGATGCATGCCATATGCCAGCAAATATGGAAAACACAAGAATGGCCATCAGACTGGAAAAAATCAACTTATATCCCCATACCAAAAAAGGGAAATGCGAAAGACTGCTCCAACTTCCGTACAGTGGCCCTTATTTCTCATGCCAGTAAGGTAATGCTCAAGATCCTGCAAGGAAGACTCCAGCAATACATGGAGCGAGAGTTGCCAGATGTTCAAGCTGGGTTTAGAAAAGGCAGAGGAACGAGAGACCAAATTGCCAATATCTGCTGGATAATGGAGAAAGGCAGGGAGTTTCAGAAAAACATCTATTTCTGTTCATTGACTATTCTAAAGCCTATGACTGTGTGGATCATAATAAATTGTGGCAAGTTCTTGGTGGATGGGCATACCAAGCCACTTGTCTCTCTCCTGAGGAATCTGTACAAGGACCAAGTAGCAACAGTCAGAACTGACCACGGAACAACAGACTGGTTCAAGATTGGGAAAGGCGTACGGCAAGGCTGCATCCTCTCACCCAACCTTTTTAACTTGTATGCAGAACACATCATGCGATGTGCGGGGCTTGATGAATGCAAGGCTGGGGTGAAAATTGCTGGAAGAAACATTAACAACCTCAGATATGCAGATGACACCACTCTGATGGCCGAAAGCGAGGAGGAGCTGAGGAGCCTTCTAATCAAGGTGAAAGAAGAAAGCGCAAAAGCTGGGTTGCAGCTAAACATCAAAAAAACCAAGATTATGGCAACAAGAATGATTGACAACTGGCAAATAGAGGGAGAAAATGTGGAGGCCGTGACAGACTTTGTATTTCTAGGCGCAAAGATTACTGCAGATGCAGACTGTGGCCAGGAAATCAGAAGACGCTTTCTTCTTGGGAGGAGAGCAATGTCCAATCTCGATAAAATAGTAAAGAGTAGAGACATCAGGCTGGCAACAAAGATCCGCCTAGTCAAAGCCATGGTATTCCCTGTAGTAACCTACGGATGTGAGAGCTGGACCTTAGGGAAGGCTGAGGAAGGAAGATCGATGCTTTTGAGCTGTGGTGTTGGAGGAAAGTGCTGAGAGTGCCTTGGACTGCGAGAAGATCCAACCAGTCCATCCTCCAGGAAATAAAGCCCGACTGCTCACTGGAGGGAAGGATACTAGAGGACAAAGTTGAAGTACTTTGGCCACATCATGAGGAGACAGCAAAGCCTAGAGAAGACAATTATGCTGGGGAAAGTGGAAGGCAAAAGGAAGAGGGGCCGACCAAGGGCAAGATGGATGGATGGCATCCTTGAAGTGACTGGACTGACCTTGAAGGAGCTGGGGTGGTGACGGCCGACAGGGAACTCTGGCGTGGGCTGGTCCATGAGGTCACGAAGAGTCGGAGACGACTGAACGAATGAACAACAACATCATCATGTATTATATATATATTGTATCACATTATAATCTTATCATAAATATTATTATATATTATTAGCATAGCACTATATTGTACAATACAACTAAACTGCAATATTATTAGTAATATTACCTGTAATATATAATATATAATTATATTATATTGTATTATTATATTACATTGTATTGTAATATTATCAATATTATATGTACACACAATATATATTATTAACACAGCACAATATTAGTACTCTATATTGTACTATACCGCTATACTGAAATATTACTAGTAATATTACATGTAATATATAATACACAATTAATATATTGCATTATTGTTAGTATTATATTGCATTACATTATATTATCAATATTATATGTAAATACAATATATTATTAGCATAGGAGCCCCCGGTGGCACAATGGGTTAAACCCCTATGCCAGCAGGACTGAAGACTGACAGGTCACAGGTTCAAATCCAGGGAGAGGCGGATGAGCTCCCTCTATCAGCTCCAGCTCCTCATGCGGGGACATGAGAGAAGCCTCCCACAAGGATGTTAAAATATCAAAACATCCAGGCGTCCCCTGGGCAACGTCCTTGCAAATGGCCAATTCTCTCACACCAGAAGCAACTTGCAGTTTGGGTTGTTGTAGGTTTTTTCGGGCTGTATGGCCATGGTCTAGAGGCATTCTCTCCTGACGTTTCGCCTGCACTTTGGCAAGCATCCTCAGAGGTAGTGAGGGCTTGCAGTTTCTCAAGCTGCTACTGACACGACAAAAAATAAATTATTAGCATAGCACACTATTAGTAGTCTATATTACTATATTGTACTATACTGCTATACTGCATTAGTAACATTACATTTAATATATAATTATTATATTATTATATTGTATTAGTAGTAGTATATTGCATTACATTATAATATTATGATCAATATTATACCTATATTATATTAGCCTAGCACAATATTAGTATTCTATATTACTATATTGTACTATACCGCTATACTGCAATATTATTGGTAGTATTACATGTAATATGTAACATACAATTATTATAATATTGTACTATATTATTGATAGGATATATTATTAATATATTATTATTCATTATTAATATATTGTTAATAGGATATATTATTAATAGGAGCCTCCGGTGGCACAGTGGGTTAAAGTGCTGAGCTGCTGAGCTTGTTGACCGAAAGATCGCAGGTCCGAATCCGGGGAGCAGCATGAGCTTCCGCTGTCAGCCCCAGCTTCTGCCAACCTAGCAGTTCAAAAACATGCAAATGTGGGTAGATCAATAGGTATCGCTCCGGCGGAAAGATATGGGCGCTCCATGCCGTCATGCTGGCCACATGACCTTGGAGGTGTCTACGGACAACGCCGGCTCTTCGGCTTAGAAATGGAGATGAATTCCAAAGTCCCAGAGTTGGACACGACTGGACTTAATGTCAGGGGAAAACCTTTACCTTTGCATGTATGTATGTTTATATGCATATTTGTATTTATTTCTATATATGCATGAATGTTGGTATGCATGTTATTTATATGTATGCCTGTTAGTGTGTATGTTTATGTGGGCATGCATGCATATGTATGTTTATATGTATGTATGTAGTGTATGCTCCGTCTTCCAGGAGCATGGTTTACATTGCCTTTTAGCTGCATGGGATAGCATTCCTTTGCATTTCCCTAGGCTTGCTATAGACCCAGCAGCACCCTGGAAGTTAAACATTATCAGAGTCTGGAAAGCCAGGCTGCAGGCCCTCTGCAGTTATTGGTTTAGAAAGTATCTCTTTGGGTTAGGAATCCGCCCTTTTTCCTGGGGTTGAGATCTCCATTTTGGAATCTCCCCTGCCTCCTTCAGTAGAGAAAAGAGCCTCAGATGTGCTGTTGGTCAGACAGGCAAAGCTCTGAAAAGTCATTGTGAGTACAATTGAGATAGATAGATAGAATAGCAATTGAGTACAATTGAGATACTGAGATAGATAGATAGATAGATAGATAGATAGATAGATAGATAGATAGAAAGAATAGGAATTAAGAAATTGAGTTAAAGATAGAAATTGAGTTATTGAGAAATCGAGAGAAATAGATATTGAATACTATTGAGCATTACTTCATCTTCAAAGCTAACCTTGAGCTTAGATAGGGGAAGACCTGTTCTTTCTAACCATAGCAGCTCAGGGTTAGGGTGAAAGATCCCAGGATTTTTTCTACCATTTGGAGAAAAGTTACCTCAGTAATTGAAGAAAAGGGGAAAAAAAGAACATCTCTATGGTTTCCCAAATTGACTGTTTGTGTTGTAACTTTATCAAGCTGTGCCAAGTCTGCCGAGGACTTTGGAAATAAATATTTTGTTGATGTTCATATCTTGACTGGCATCAGTTGCTGAAAGTATTGAGTTATTGCTTCAAAAAAGACCCCCAGCAGTTCGCCCAGATAGAGAAGCACATTTTAGTTTTAACGTTATGGCGTCTGGGTGTGACGGCAGTGTATGCATTTGTATATATCTTTATATGTATGTGTACATGTTTTTATTTGTATGTATGCATGTTTGAATGTATGCATGCCTTTATGTGTGTATTTTCCAAGATGGCTCCCACTTCCAGAGAGTACCATAACTCTCGCCAACAATGGATCTAGACCCCACTTGACACACAGATCCTTACTTTGAAAGTAGTTGCTATCCTGC